TCTCAGGAAATAAATATCCCCTGGAAGGCCCTTCATCCAATGGGGTAAGTAAGTGTAGGTGTGTCCCTGTCACTTACCCAAATGCCTAGTGTCACTGTCCTGTCTCCCACAGACATCACCTTGGCCACAAATGCTGCCCCAATGGTCTGTTTGTGGGGGGAAAGGAGACAGTCATCCTCCCTTTCCCACCTGCCCCCTTCCACAACAACCACTCATGCCTATACCACCCACTGCTGTCTACACAAGACTTTTTCACTTCCTTTTTTTTTTTTAAAGCCCCCTCTCACACACACACACACAACACTAGGAGAGATGTCAGGCAAACGTCATTTTACCTGTTTTACAAGAAAAGAAACAGGTCCAGGGAGAGGAAGTGAATAGCGCAATTCCCACAGGGGCAAAGTGGAGCTCAAAAATCGGGTTAACTGGCAGCATGACAAGGGTGTTCTCCGCCAAGTTCACAGCCAAACCCTCGGTGCCTCCTTCCACTTACAGACTGGCCCCCTGTGTGCCCTACGGGCAGCCTTTCCCTCTCGCCAGTCCCGGCCCTCCCGACCCTGACCCCCGAGCCCCGGGGCGCGCCTCCACTCACATTTTGGTAGGGCCCCACCAAGAAGCGATCGTGCACGTATCTCTCCACGAGGCTCGTCTTGCCCACGTATTCCTTGCCCAGCATCACGACCTTCACGTCCACGCGCTGCCCGCTCATGCTCCCGGGGCCCAGGCCGGGCAGGTCCGCGGCGGGGCGGAACGGGGCGCGGCTGGGCCGGCCAGGCGGACGAGACGCTTCACCTGCGCCGGACACGGCCCGCCTGAGCGCGTCGGCCCCGGCCCGGCCCACCGTTCCCGCGCCAGCCCCGTGAGTCCGCGGGACCCCGGCCGGCGGCCTCCGCTCGGCTTGTCTCCGGGCGCTCTGCGCTCGCGGGCCCGGGGATCCACAATCAAGGAACCCCCCCGCCCCAACACACATACACAGACACACACACACACACACACGCTTGGGGATCCCAGGCCCCACAGTCAAGGAACCCCCCCTAACACACACACACACGCTTGGAGATCCCAGGCCCCACAATCAAGGAACCCCCCCAACACACACACACACACACAC